GCCAATAGCAGCAAGCCAGGCTTGCAGTTTCCCTCCCAGCTGCCGTGCTGGGAAGAGCATGTTTTTGCTGGCGCAGGGTCAGCGCGGCTCGCAGTTGAGTTTGCTGGAGTGAATTCTCCAGGCATTAATTTTCTTGTAACGTGAATAAAGCAACCGTCTTTTGTCTCTGGGCTGGAGGACAGAGCTGTGGCTCTGCTCAAGGGCCCACCAGCCACGACCTGCAGCCAGACCGGGGTGGCTGCGAGCTGTAGCACTTGTGTAACAGGACGTGCCGGGTAATGGTAACTGGCCTGTCCAATTTGCTAGGGCCAGTCTCGACTGCCTGGGCAGGTCAGGGCTTGCTGGGGAGTCCTTGGTAATTGCCAGCAAAGCTAATTTCCGTCCCCATAGAGAAGCCAGCAGCCTGCACAGTCTCCTGGAAGTCGGCGTGGACATGCTTCAGAGCAGAGCTTAGCCTCTTGTTCAGCTCATTTCCTCTGTAAGAGGAAAACCGCAGAGGGGCAGCTTCAAGCCGCTGTCTCCCCTAGAAATCAGCCCCATCCCTGGCTTGTCAGCAGTAACCACCATCTTGCAACCCTCTGCATGCCTCTCCCCTCCAGTGCCAGCTGCAGAAACCGTGTCCCCCCAGCACTAAAATGCAGCTGCTTCTGGAGCAGACTCGGGCAGGGCGTGAGCAGTGGTGTGGGGGGAAGGCTGCGGAGGGACGAAGGATCTTGTCTCCAGCTGCCGTTGTGGGAGGAAGGGGGCTAGAAGAGGATTACGTCACTGTGGCCGTTTCTAAAATGCCCCAAATCCAGCTGAGTCTCTGTGGGGCTGGCAGCCCTGCTCCTGAGGGCTGTGACCCCTAGGGTGGGTAAATCAGATGGGTAACTTGCCACCTTGCTTATACCATTAATCCAGGTGGTAGTTAAGCCGTCTGGAGGGTTGCCAATGCGCCCTTGGACATGAGATGATTTGAAAGCCCAAGAGAGGAGGGGCAGCGGCGAGTGAGAAAGGGCCCCACGGGCTGCGCACGTGGTCAGTATACTTCAGGCGAGGGGCTGTACCTAGCCCTGAGAGCCCGGCAGTTGTGAGCTTCTGGCAGGGCGTAAATCAGACATTTATGGGATCGGCTGCCTGTCAAATAAGGTTATGCCGAGGGGCACGGGGCAGGAATTCCTGCGGCAGAAGGGCTGCCCCCGTCTCCCCACGACCGTGGCCAGTGGATCTGGTGTGAAATTGGTCCTCCTCAGTTGACCCAAGGTGCTTTGTCAGCTGAGGCCCCTGGCCCATCTCATTGCAAGGGGCACAGGGCAGCGCTGCTATTGGGAAGGTGAGAGCATCCCCCCACGTGGCAGGCAGGCAGGCAGCCCACGGTCTGAGAACCAGGGATGAAGCCATTTCCTTCTGCCGACCTTCTCTGGCCTGGGCAAGCTTTCTTTTCTCCGAGGCCACGTGTAAAGGGGAAGGTGCCAGAAGAGCTGGCTAGCGGAAAGTGGAGAGGAGCAAAGAACTGCCCCAGATGTGGATCGGATGCCGGGAAGAGGGGCTGGCTCTGGAGAAGAGCCACTGAGTCTCTGTCTTCCCCGTGTCCCAGCACTGCAGTGGTGGCGGGATCAACGAAGAGGGTAGAGTCCCACGTCCCACCCCCGTTAGCGCCACGCTGAGACGTGGGGATCAGTACCGGCCCTAAGGCAGGACCAGAATCTCTGAGGAACCTTTCTCCCAGAGGGGCAAGACCACGGTGCCGCTGGGCAGCTCTGCAGCTCTGCATACTTGCAGCAGCCGGCACTGCTAAGCTGCTTTCTGCATGGCAGGGAGGTGGCTTCTGGGCAGCTTGGATCTTAGGCAGTCGAGCGTGTACCAGGCGTTGGTACAATGGGTTGTGGACTTGTTCCTGCCAATGGTATCAGGCTTCCAGAAGTGAAGGACTTGTCCTCCCATGCCTCCTCGTCGGCTGACATGTGGAGGCAAAGGCCACATGTTGGTGGGGGAGGTGGTGATCTCTGCTGATGTGCCTGGGACCCCTTCCATCTGCATGTACATCCAGCCAGACTTGTGTCAGCAGAGCTCGAGGTCTGTGGATGCAACGTGGTGGCGTAGACCAGGCCTCAGCAGGGGTGCTTAGCTACAGCAGATATGGAAGCAGTGAAGCCAGCTCCAGCAGGCAGGTGTGAAAGAAACCTGCCTAGATTCAGTGAGGCAAGGGCTTGCTTTCAGCTTCATGCCGTCTGCTGTCCAAGGGAGCCTTCCTTGTTCTTGCAGACAGTGCCGGGTCTGGACAGTGTTAAGCTCCTTTGGGGACAGGTCTGTGGCAGGCTTTCCCTGTGTTACCACAGTGCTTGGTACCACAGGGTTAAAGTTAGGCTCTGCTTCTTTGTATGCATGCCAGCCAGAGGAGTGAGGCTGAGTTATAATTAAACCTCTCATCCGTTTCCCTGTCTGGAGAAAATGAGCGTATCTTGGGTGAGGACAGAAGGCTGCAGACAGAGAGAGGCCGGGACAGGAAGCAGACGAGCTCTCCGTGATGTTTGCCTTTGGCCAGTCCCGCTGTCTAAGCCCATCCTCTTCACTGAGTTTTATCTGTGCAAATCCCTTCCCTTGCTGACGCTCCTGAAATCTGGCTTCAGGAGGGAATGGTGGACAACGTGGCATCTGTCCTGGGCGTGTTCAGTCCTGGTGCATGTGTCTCTGGAGCGCAGCGTGTGCTGGGAGGTTGTAGAAAACCGATCTGCTTGGTGCCACGGTCGTGTGTTAAGACCAGAGATTGGCCACGCTGCTTCTGCTGGGAGGGATGGATAGCACGTTTCCTGGTCCTGGATGCGATGCAAACAGAAGATAAAGAGGAGCATGATCCCGGGGTGTGATCTGGGGCAGGTCACCTCTGGCCAGTTGGATCTGGTGTTGCACAGCGCCCCTGGGACATTGAGCCCCAGGTCTCCAGGGAAAACGCATGCCACACAATGAAAGCTGCTCCCACTTGCTTGGTAAGGATGGAGCAGTCCATGCTGTGGCAAGGCCAGCCGACCTGCCTGGGTGGGCTGAAATGTGCCTCTCTCTTCACATGGATGAAGTAGACAGCAAGGAGGGCAAGTGGCAGGTTGTGAGCAGGAAGAAGGGTTCTTCACCAAGTGGAGCACAGTAACCCACCCCAGACAGCGCCAAGGACTCCTATGCAAAGTTAGTGGGAAACCAACCTCCTGGACTTTGGGGCCTGACCTTGGCGTCCCCTCCCCTATCACATTTCTGCTGCTCTCATGCTGGGTCCCTGAGGCATGGCACAAGGCTAATCAATCCATCACAGTGTCTGAAAGCAGAGAGGTGGGGGGGCAGGGCTGCCGTACGATCAGTCTAGTGATGCAGACAGGAAATCGGAGGCTCGGATGATTGTCCCGGCATGTGATGGAATGGGCTGGAATATGAGGGCAGCTGCTTTGTGTCTTGCAAAAGCCATCTGACTGTGTTGGAGACAGGCCTGCTTCCCCCCCCCCGCCCCCTGGGGCACCGCACAGCAGCTCCTGGGCTGCCCCGCATCACATTGTCATGGGAGATGTGACCTGTCATAGCCGTGGGACGCCTTTTTCCCGGGGTTGCCCGGGGGGAGTGCGCGTCTCTGGAGCAGCTGGGTAGCTCCCCACCCTCCAGACTCACTCCTTTGCAGAGGTGCAGGCTTGCTGGGACAGGGGCTGGCAGCCTGGCCTCATTCCACAGGGCCAGAGCAGGCACCCAGCAGGGAGCTGTAACAGTTTCCAGCCTGGCTCCCTGTTTCCCTTTGCAGAGATAATTAGAGGGGAATTGAATTGAAAGCTGCTAATGAGGTTCCTGCGCAGCACTTGGCAGCCCTGCAGCCCCAGGCTTGGATTGGCTGGAGAGTCTGAACCCACGGCACTAACAATAGGGTCCCTCCAGGACCACCCCCCCTTCCAGTGCTTTGTAAGAGTTGTGGAGTTAACCCCCACGCACCCTGGCCCCAGCAGGCAGCGGTGCCTCGGCTGTGGGAGGGTGCTCGGACGACCCTGGCATGCTCTCAGGCAGGAGCTGGGCTCGTGAAGGGCAGTGGAGGATCCAGGTGGTACCACCAGCTTTGTAGTGCACACACAGAGAGGCAGAGCCCCTTAACCCTGGATTAGCAAGTGTGGCAGCAACGCAGGAAAAACCCTGTGCTTGGAGGTTCGGAGAGCACAGTGCATCCAGGCTCATGGCGCGAAGCCTCTCCCTGGCCTGGAAAACCATGCTGTGAACATGATCCAGGAGTGCGGGGGTGTCTGCACAGAGAGGCGCCTGGAGGGGCCCTGGACAGGGTCACACACTTGGATCCAGCCACATTTCAACCCCGTCATCTGCCCTGAGCTGGCACAGGCTGTAGCCAAGACAGCTGGCTGGGGATGCCTTCCCTGTGGGGGGGCCGCGTGCCAGCCCCACATGCCACCCCTCCTTCCAGCAGGGGCTTCATCCTCTCAGCTGTGCACAGTGCAAACCAGAGGCTCAGGCGCAGGCACTGGCTCCCTGCTTCCCCTGGCTGGTAGGAGTGATGGGGCTGCCACCACCCCAGCTGGCAGGCTGACACCCTGCAGATACAGAGCAAACCTCATTCCCACTGCGGGCTGATGGCAAGGGACATGCTGAAGGAGAGGGTCTCCTCCCACAGGAGTACCACTGCGAGGGAGGGTGAGGGGTGCCCTGCTTCTCAGCAGCCCAGCTTGTTCCCAAAGGGGACAGACTCTTTCAATCATGCACGGGGGTGAGCAGGCAAGGCCGAAGGTGGCACCGGTGGTCCATCCCATTGCCTTCATGCCAGGGCAGAAGAGGAGAGAGGCATCTTCAAGGAGCCTGGCCACTGTCCTGGCACCAGCTGGGTGCACTGTGTATAAGCCAGGAGCTGAGCAGCAATCTGCCCAGACCATCGTGCTGCCCTGCTCTGCCTCTTCCCCCAGGCTCAGGGCCTTCTGCAAGGAGCTGGCCCCTCTTCTCTTGGGTCTTGATTTCTTTCTCTCTGTCTCTCTTTCTCTCCCTCTCTCCAGGGACCTAAAGAACAACTTGATCAACACAATCCAGCCTGGCGCGTTCCTGGGCCTCTCAGAACTGAAGCGACTGTAAGTGCCCAATTGTGCCCCCCGAGTTGCAGGGTGTCTCGGGCTAAGGGGTGCACACAGACATACAGACTGGAGCCCGTCCTTGAAGTTACCAGCTGGGGCTTTGGGATAGTTGAACTAGGGGCTGGTGGAGGCAGCAGGGAGTGTGATCTCCCCTCTTCACTCTTCAAGCTCTCCTCACTCCAGCATTTGAGTCTCCCAGTGCTCTGCTCCCTGCCCCTGGTACGGGGGGCGTGAGCAGGCCAGTGTACAGGGTGGTGCCCAGGCGCTGCTGTGGATGGGAGAAGTCTCAGTACTCACACAGACCTTTTCTCCCCTGCTTGTTTCCAGAGACCTCTCCAATAACCGCATCGGCTGCCTCAGCGCTAGCGTCTTCCTGGGTCTCATCAACCTCATGCGGCTGTAAGTAGCAGTGGGGCTCCCACCTAGCAGGCAGGACCCTTGGTAAGGAGCTGGCAGGGGCACTGCAGCCTAGGACGATGCCTGCTCCAGACTCAGCACTGTCCAGGGCCCTTCTGCCTACCTGTGCTGCTGGCACAGAGCAGGGTCCCAAGGCTTGTGGCACCTGTGTGCAGGGCTCGATGCTGGCACTGGGTGTCTGGGCTACAAGCTCCCTGTCCCCACCTCTCTGGAGATCAACTTTAGGTAGCTTGGGAGGGACCTGGCTTTGCAGTGGGTGAGGATCTGCTGGCTTCTGAGCCAGGCGGTGCTCACTCAGGGACCCAGTTCCCCAGGCTGCCCCTTCGGGGGGCCCGGCTCACCATGCATCAAGCCCAAGAGTATTGGGCAAGTCAGCCCTCACCAGGCTTTTGTCTCCTGTCTGCCAGCAACGTGTCAGGGAACATCTTCTCCACCCTCCAGCCGGGTGTCTTTGATGAGCTGCCATCCCTGAAACTCATGTGAGTACCTTGCTGAGAGGGGAACGCCCATCCCAAAACCACACGGGCTTGCTGCGCAGGGACTGGGAGGGTGGGTGCAAAGGAGGCAAGTGCTGATGGCTACCAGGCATCTGCATGCCTGTGCCCACAGCCTCATGGCATCAGAGGGGCCCACCCCGGCCTGCCCTCCTGCAGCCAGAGTCAGGACCTGTCTCACAAGCAGGCGCCCTCCTGGCCATTAGTGCTGCTCCGTGCCCCTGTGATCTCCTGCAGTCAGTGAGCAGCTGGGAGCAGGTCTGTCCCTTGCCTCCAAAGCTTTGTGCCCCTGCCAGCCCCTAGCCCTTGTACCCGTGCTTCCAGTTGCTGCAGCTTGCAGGGACATCCTGGCTGCTCTGATGCCTTCATCTGTCCCTGACTCCATCCCCCTGGTCTGCCTCTTCCAGTGACTTTGCCACCGAGTACCTGACGTGCGACTGCAACCTGCGATGGGTGCTACCCTGGGCCCGGAACCGCTCAGCCCAGATCTCCGACAAGACCCTCTGCATCTACCCCCGCCACCTGCATGCCAAGCCGCTGCGGAGCACCAGGGAGGGGCAGCTGCGCTGCGGTGAGGCGTTGGGGCCATGGGAAGTGGATGGCAGGGTGGGGTTGCATGCCACAGAGCCAGGACTCTGGGCTGCTTAGACAGGGACCCCCTGAGGTCTGGGCAGTCCCAGTTGGGCACAGCCCCCGAGGAGTCCAGCTTGTGCCAGCCATGCTAGTGACGTCTGTGGTGTGGGTGCCAGGCTTCCTTGGGACCCCAGCCTCGCAGCAGGCTGCCCCAGTGCCCTGGGAGGTGGCTGAGGCAGGCTAGGGGGCAGCAGTCTGGGGCAGGAGCTCACCCATCTGCCCTTCCCTGCAGCGGGTGCCCCTGAGCTGCACACCCACCACCTGATCCCGTCACTGCGCCAGGTGGTGTTCCAGGGCGACCGCCTGCCCTTCCAGTGCACAGCCACCTACCTGGACAACAGCACCCAGATCCTGTGGTACCACAACCGGGTGCTGGTGGAGGAGGATGAGCAGACTGGCATCATCCTGGAGCAGAGCCTCATCCATGACTGCACCTTCATCACCAGGTGGGAGCACCTGCCAGGGGGTGACCTGGGGGTTCACATGGGCCCACAGCTGCCTTCTGCTCTGGGTGCTAGTTCCAGCACCTCAGGAGGGTGCCCGAGTGCAGCCCATGTCAGATGTCCTCCCTGCAAGGACTGGAACCCAAAGCTTGCAGGTTCCTTTGGGAGGAAAGGGGCCTTAGAAGGGTAGGGGGATCGTTAGCCTTTGGGGGTGAACACACAGGCACCCACAGCCTCCCGGTGCAAAGGCTCCTGATTGAACCCCGGGGTAGTGACCGACACCACAGGCTGGGTGCGGGTGCGTGGCCCTGCCTGCTGTGTCAGGGGTGCTGTACGTTGTGCTGGCCCAGCCCTCGGGCTACCTGCCTGCTCAGGTCCGCCCATCGGGTTCCTCCCCCACCTGCAGTGAGCTTATCCTCTCCAACATCCACATCTCTGCCAACGGGGAGTGGGAGTGTGCCGTCTCCACTGCCCAGGGCAACGTCAGCAAGAAGGTGGAGATCGTGGTGCTGGAGACCTCAGCCTCGTACTGCCCTGCTGAGCGGGTCACGAACAACCGTGGGGACTTCAGGTGAGACCCAAGGCTGCACGTCACTGGGGGGCAAGACACTACGTGCTGCGGTAGGGCTGGTTTTCCTAGGTCCTTGCAGACCCCTCTCTTGCCTCTCCTGCTGACCAACCCAGAGGCATTGTGGGAAACTCCAGGGTGATGCTGAGCCTGGTTGGCTGGAAGCATTCAAAGGCTTAGGGGTGGATGGGAACACAAGGGAGTTCAGCCTCTGGTGCCTGAGTGGAGTGGAAATCAGCCTGGAGTAGCATGCAGCTGCCTGGGGCTGGGTGCACCTCTCTGCTCCCAGTAGGGTCGTGCCATCCTGGGACTCCACTGGTGCAGCTGCAGCTGTTTGCACTGCCCCAGCATGAATGTAATGCTGCAAGCGCTGTCCCGCCAGCACTGTGGGTGCCAGTGTGCAGGGACTGCTGGGCCAGCTGTGCGCCCGGCTGGCTGCAGGCGAGAAGGGAGGCTGCTGGCAGGGCAGGCCTGCAGGTGACCTGGCGTCTGGCAATGATTAGGCGGCCCGTGATAGCGAGGCTCCTTTGAAAGGCTTCCCGCGCTGGCAGCACAGACGGGCTCCAGAGGCAGAGGTGTTGGAATTTCTCTGGCAAGAGACTAAAGGCTTTGGGAGCCCACTGTAACCTCGACTGGGCCTTTATGGAATATAAATTACTGGTACAGTAAATATGGCTTAAATTAGCAGCAGCCCCCCTTCCCTCCCCACCCCACCCCCTCCGCTCCGTGCAGAACAGGATATGGGAGTAGATAGCTGGAGCAATCAGCGGGCTTGTGTGGGAGCCGCCCCTCGCAGGGCTCGGGCGCCTCAAGTGCTAGAGAGGCACCAGCAGGAGGGTACCTGCCCCAGAAACTGCTGGGAAGGGCAGGGAGGAGGTAAAGGGGTGTCCAGGCAAGGGGCAGGGCAGGGGTGTTGGGACCTTTGTGCAAAGATTTGCCTGGTTGAGAGAGGTTGCCACTAGGTGTGAAGAAGGCATCTTCTGAGACCGGGACCACCAGGGCCTCAGGCAGAGCAAGGCATAGTAGGCATGCTTGTCCATGCTGCTGACTCCTGGTGCAGGACAGGGTTGGGGTGCAAGGTAAGCTCCACAGCTATCGTACTCCACTCCAGGACGGCAGCTAGCTGCTTTAGTTCGACCCAGTCAGGTTCATTTCAGTACGCCAGGGGCTGCTAGGTCTTGCAGCCCCTGCAAAGTCCTGTGGGAAGCAGAAGGAATTGTGGGGCCGGGCGTCTGCTTGGGGGAGACCACGTGACCCCCATGTGCATCCCCTAATCCAGCTGTGGCGTCAGGGGAGCAGGGGGAGTCTCGCAAACCATATGTTGCAGCAGCTGGGCCGAGCCAAGCTTTCCAGGGAGGGAAATAAATTACCCCATAAAAATCTCAGCTCCTTTCTGGAGTGTCTGAAGTTCTTCCCTTTGTGATGCCCAGCGCGCAGCTGGAAACCCTTCTACGCGTGGCACGGTGCCCCCAGCTCCGTGTGCAGCTCTGTCCCAGCAGCTCTGCACGCATATGCTGTGCGCAGACGTGCTGGCTGGCTGCTCTTAGCAGGGCCCTTCCCAGGGGCACCGGTGCCCTCGCTGATGGCTGCAGGGCCAGGGCTGCTGTGTGGAGAGCAGAGCAGAGTAAGCTAAAACAGAGCAGCTATTCAGGGAGGTTTCGGGGACAGCTGCTGGGTCGTAACCGTGCGTGCATGCTGCGTCCCACTCGCTCTTGGCCATGGGCAGATTTTGTTGCTTTAACCATCCGGCTTGCCCGAGAGCCAAAGCGCTGGGGCCCTGTTCCCCTGGACCTGATGCTGTTTGTTGTAGTGCTTGAGAATCGGGCACATGCGGAGAGAGGCTCAGCAAGCTCCTGATGCAGGATTTCAGCAGTAGGCAAGGAGAGGAGTTATCCAGCCAGCCAGGGAAGGCAGTGGGCAGGGCAGGCTAGAGCGGGATGGTGGTAGTAAGTCTCTGTACCAGAAGCAGGTTTCCAGGGGGGCCCAAATCATCATTTGGGATCCTTTCCATCATATGGGGTTGGGGAGAGTCTAGAGGAGCCTGTAGGGAGATCAGGCAACAAGGGCTGGTGTCAGGGGCCTGCTCAGGCCCAGGAAACGGCACTTGTGCATTCAAAGTGGTGCAGGCTGGCTCCCATGGCCAGGCACGTGCTCACTGTGCCCACGCCTCTCCCCTCTGCTGGCAGGTGGCCCCGCACTTTGGCTGGCATCACTGCCTACCAGTCTTGCCTGCAGTACCCCTTCACCTCAGTGGCCGTGAGCGGGGGTCCAACGGCGGAGAAGCAGGCGTCGCGGCGCTGCGACCGTACGGGCCGCTGGGAGGAGGGCGACTACTCCAACTGCTTGTACACCAACGACATCACCCGCGTGCTTTACACTTTTGTGCTGGTGAGTGGGCGCTGCGCCCAGGAGGTCATAGGCCCTGCTTTTCCCCAGGGCAAAGCAGAAGGCTGAAAGCCTGGTCCCTCGTTGGCAGCTGTGAACGGTCATCGGAGGGGGCGTTGCAGCGTCTGCCCTTGGAGCTGGGACGTGTCTGCCACAATTCAACCGGGGATGGGCGTGTGCTGTGGCTCTCGGGTTCGCACTGACCGCTCACGCCTCACCGTGCTAGTAACCCCCCACTTCTGCTCCGCAGATGCCCATCAACGCCTCCAATGCCCTGACTCTGGCTCACCAGCTGCGCGTGTACACGGCCGAAGCTGCCAACTTCTCTGACATGATGGATGTCATCTACGTGGCCCAGATGATCGAGAAGTTCATCGGCTATGTTGATCAGATAAAGCAGGTGATGCTCCCTCCCCTGCTCCCTGCCAAGGCACGATCCTGAGGGGGTGAGCATGGAGGGGAAGGGGGCCCATCCTGCACTCAGAATGGCTTTGGGGAGTCTTGCCAAGGAGCTGCAAGCTTTCCAGGGTACCGTGGCTGCTCTCTTGGCCTCCACCTCCTGCCCTGCCCTTGCCCTGCAGTCTGTCTGAGGCTGTGGCGACCGGAGCCCCCCTGCCCTGTGCTCCCCTGCAGCTCACGGATGTCATTGTGGAGATGGCCAGTAACATGATGCTGGTGGATGACCACATCCTGTGGATGGCGCAGATCGAGGACAAGGCCTGCACCAGCATTGTCCGCTCTGTGGAGAAGATTGCGGGCTACACGCTCAGCAGCAATGCCCAACACATGGCCGTGGTAGGGGCCCTCCCATCGCTTTTGTGGGGCTGGGAACTGGGCAGAGCAGGGGCTGCAGCAGGGATTGGGGAGGGGGAGCGGCTGGGGCAGGAACAGCGCGGGGCTCAACTGCAAAGTCCCGTAGGTCAGGACTGAGGTCTCTGTGGGGGCGAGCAGCCCAGGCTGGGGAGGCACAAGGGGCTGAGAGTTGGGATTGGAGGGCATTGACAGGGGTGAAGGGTTTGCAGGGGGGGAGTCCAGGACTGGAACAGCGCAGGGTCAGGATGGGGGTGTCTGCATAGCTAGGTGCTGAGCGCACAGGGGCTGTCTGTCACGCGGGGGGCAGTGCCCTTGCTAACGGGCCTTGCCATGGCATACCCTTGCAGAACTCAAGGAACATTGCCTTCGAGGCTTACCTGATCAAGCCCGAGAGCTTCATGGGGCTGAGCTGCACGGCGTTCCAGAAAAGAGAGGGCAGGCGGGCGCTGCTGCCAGAGCGGGGAGCCGAGCCTCTGGCAGACCAGCAGCTGCAGTTCAGGTGCACCACAGGCCGGCCCAACGTCTCCCTGGCCAGCTTCCACATCAAGGTACTGGCAGGGGCAAAGCCGCAGCGTGCGGCAGGGCTGAGCGGTGTGGGGAAAGGTCAGGCAAGGCCTGTGCTGCAGCGTGACTGGCACTTGAAGCCAGCGAAGGGCTCCCTGCAGCATCCCTAGGGTCCCCAGAAGGGGCCTTTTGTCTCCGATTTGGGAGACCTGTCCTGAACTAGCTGCCCCCTTGCAAAGGGACCCCACACTGTGTCTTGCTGCATCTGTGGAAAGCCTGCACCCAGGATGATGAGCCCTGCTTCTGAGCAGGGACTGTGGCATGGCTGGGCACCACAGAGACATGCTTCTGCAGCTGCAGGCTTGGAAAGCAACCGCTGAGCACCCTGGCTGCAACGTGGGGCCGTTCGCACAGCCCCCTGCCCGGGAGCCAGAGGCAGACGAGATGACCTGTGGCTGTGCAGGGCTTCTGGGACTGTGACGGGAGCTGCAGCAGCCAAACCTGGCATGTGGCTCACCTGTGGCCCCCTGTCTCCTCAGAACAGCATCGCCCTAGCCTCCATCCAGCTGCCACCCAGCCTGTTCTCGCCGTGGGCCCCGCTCCCGCCGCCCGCCGACTGCAAGCTCCAGTTCCTGGCTTTCCGTAACGGCAAGCTCTTCTGCAGCACCAGCAACTCCTCCCGCCTGGCGGACGACGGCAAGCGTCGCAGCGTGGCCACACCTGTGATCTACGCTGGCACACGTGAGGTTCCTGGCCTGGGGCGGCAGGGTGTGAGGGCTGCCGGTGACTAGGGGCGAATCCGCTGCGACTGTGCCAGCAGCAAGAGCTTGGTGCCTGGGTTGCTGGGATGGCGCCGAGCCCTGCGTGGAGTCGTAGTACCCCCTAGCGGCCAAATGCTCCTTCCTGATGAGCTGGTAGCACCAGCCTAGCCTGAGTCTCTTGCAGCCCCTGGCAAGGGTCGTGGGGAGAGGCAATGGGCCTGCCTTGCTCGCAGCCCACTCGCAGAGGCAAGCTGGGGCCCAGAGGGTGAAAGGGTGGGGAAAGAGCCGCTGAAGAGCCAGGAGCGCACCCCTCAGCCTCTCTCCTCTCCCCCACAGATGGCTGTGGAGCCAGCAACCTCACGGACCCCGTGACGGTCTCGCTGCGGCACTTCGGGGAGGGTGCCGACCCCGTAGCTGCCTACTGGAACTTCGAGGTGCTGGGGGGTTACGGGGGCTGGAGCGTGGAGGGCTGCCAGCTGGCCCGGCAGGAGCCCAACATCACCACCCTGCGCTGCAGGCACATGAACAACTTTGCGGTGCTAATGGTAAGGAGAGGGCTGCTGGAGGGCTCGGGTCTGGCCTCGGCACGGTGTGCACCAGAGGTCACTGCTCTGTGTCCCATCAGCTAGGGGAGAGCTGGGAGGTGCAGGGGCGTACGACCCACTTCCAGCATGAGGTCCCTGGAGCGCCAGACAGAGCCTACTCCGTGGGTGGTCCCATTCTACCACCCTGCCACCCCCGGTCTGGACATCGGTCATGCAGCCAGCTGGTCTGCCCACCAAGGACTTGTACTGGCCCCTGCGCTAAGTGGTCATGTGCCTCTTGGGGAGGAGGCAGAGCATTGCTCCCAGCCAGCAGCCCCTGCCCAACATCAGCACCCCGCTTCTTTCCCTGCCCTTCAGACAGCCCCTGGTTCCTCCCCCTGCCTACCTGCCGGGAGCCTCTGAAGGGCACCCAGGTCTCCAGCAGCCCCCGTCACAGCAACGTGCAGAGGTCAACGTGCACCAAAATCCAGAGGTCTTTTTCTCCCTCTGAGCAGGAACTTAACACCTTCCCCAGTGAGGCCCAGGGCACGCCGGAGGTGCTGCACCCTGTCATCTACACCTGCACAGCCATCCTGCTGCTCTGCTTGTTCACCACCATCATCACCTACATCATCAACCACAGGTAAGCCAGCAATGGGCCCCAAGCTGCTTAGAGCCACCACAGAGCTGAACGTTGGTGGTGGGTGAGTTGGTTTGGGATGGAAAGTGGCTCCTGCTCACTCTTGGAGAGAGGGAGCTAGCAGCAGAGCAGGACACAGGCTGGGTGAGCTCTGGGATCCAGGCATTGCCTCCTTACTGCTTGTCTCCCATCTGGATCCAGTTTTTGTGGAGAAGTGGAGGCCAGAGTCTCTGTAAGGGCTGGCAAGGTCACTGGTGTGGAACTGGGAATCCTACCGAGGTTTGGGTAATTACAGCCTGCATGACTACACCTGCTAGGGCTGCACAGAAGCCTCCAGCTGTAGTGCAAGATGTGCCCAAAGTGAGGCACAGCAGGCAGGGGAGGCAGAGCTAGCTTCTGCTGCATCTTAGGTAGCTGGAATCAACCCCTGCACAAAGCTAGCTCTCTCTCTTTCTCCTTGCCCATCTGTAGCCTCATGGAGCTCACTTCTATGCAGGGGAGCAGCAGGTCCTTTCAGCCAACAATCGAGGACGCATTGAAGTCTAGTTTACTGTATTAATGGATCCCAGAGTCCAGTAGGGTTGCAGAAATGCTGCTCTGCCTTGGGGTGACAACCAGAAAACAAATACAGCAGTTGTTAAGACTTTGCCAAGCAATTTGTCTTCACGTGAGCCCCCTCTCCCCGCCGGCAGCAGGCTCAACACTTAAAAATCCCAGCGAGCATCTGAGTGTTTCTCTTAGAACAGCTACTCAGGAGTAACAAGAAGTTGCAATTCCCAAATCCTTCTTGTGCTGGGATAGTGTTGGCTGCACCCCTTGGAGAGAGCACCTCTGAAGGTAGCAGGGGGTGCTTCTGTTTCTGCTGAGATTGGTAGAGAGCAAGGCAGAGTAGTAGCATGTCTCTGGTTGCTGGAAGCGACTTCCCAGTGCCCAGTTGGGGATGAATTCCCTACATGCCAGGAGATAATCAGCACTGCTGCATGCTTCTCTTGCAGTACCATTCACATCTCCCGGAAGTGCTGGCATATGCTCCTTAACCTCTGTTTCCACATTGCCATGACATCCGCCGTGTTTGCAGGAGGCATCACTCTGACCAACTACCTGATCGTCTGCCAAGCGGTAGGTACAGCCATGATTGCGCCAGCCTCGGGGGAAGCAGGGGTGAGCTTCTCAGCTCAGCAGGCCTCCCGGTTCAGAGCGTGGCCTGTGTCGCAGTGGAGGAACCGTACTGCTGCTTTGCCCCCAGGACAGAGCACTGCACAGTGCGGTGGCAGGCAGTGTCCAGAGTACCAGAACAGGAAAAACAGCTACCTCCACCTGGTTGTCTCCTCCAGGCAGCGGCCCTGGACCAGAGATGCGGGTCTGGTTGGAGGGGCCCTGGAGAAGATTCCCTATAGCTATGGGCAGGCTAGAAATGTGGATGGAGGAGAGGGCACGACTGCAGCAGATCGGGGGCCTTAGCAAAGCAAGGGTCAGCCCCAGCAGAGGGTCACTGCAGCCAGGGGAGATTCCTAGCCCTTGAATCCAGTGCATCTCATCCTGGATGCATGCACCTCAGTCACCCTCATCCTGGCTGTGTGCCCTGCAGGTTGGCATCATTTTGCACTACTCTTCCTTATCCACCCTGCTATGGATGGCTGTGAAGGCCAGAGTCATCTACAAGGAGGTAACGTGGAAGGCACCCCAGCCACAGGATGGGGATGTGTCGCAGCCTGCCCCTCGGCCAATGTTACGGTACAGTCACTTCCCTCCAGTTTGATGGGGGGTGCTGGGACGTGAGTGCAGTGAGCACTCAGGAGAAGGTCTGACTGGCCAGGCAATGTCAGCATTGCACGGAGCTGGGAGGCCCTCTGCTCCCTGAGAAACTGCAGGCTGCAGCCCCCGGGATTATCACACGTGGGGCAGGAAGCAGCTAGTGCAGTGCCGGAGCGTGATGCATGTATTCAGTAGTGTGTTCTGTATCAGAGCACTTGGTCTTGCCTTGCACCAACCTCCTGCTGCACCCTCCACAGCCAGGCCCCTTCTTATTGGGAAAGCACCATGCCTCTGATTCCCTCGGGCAGGGTACATCCTCTGGGTCCCGCAGCATTGTCACAGTTTATAACGGGAAGTTGCAGCATTTTCTGAATGAGCAAAGTGGTGCGTTTCCCCTGCTCTTCTACCCACATGCATTCACTCTGAAGGCAGGTGGAAGACGGGCTCAAGACAAAGGGTTGGGAAAGCTACAGGCAATTAAAGAAAGGGGGTTAGGATGGAGGTGATAAGGCAGCTGGCACTGCAAGCTGTCATGCCAAGGCTTCCCTACCTGCAGCACCAGCCTGGAGCAGCATTTGCCCATAGGAAGCTGTTGCACGAGCAGCCAGGTGACGCAAGGGCGCTCTCATTGCAGATTCTACCTTATTGCTGGCGGGATCCCTCTCATCATCTGTGGCATCACAGCGGCCGTCAACATCCACAACTACCGGGATAATAACCCATAGTAAGTGCCACAGGCGCAGCAAATTGCATGCCATTGCCCTCCTGCTAGCTCATTCTTCAGCTGCCAGTGCTTGTGTGAGGGAGGAGCAGGGACAGGTCTTCAGCAGAGCCACGTTCAAGGAACGGGGGTTGGTGCAGGGGTGGCTGTGATGTAACGAAGTGGTACGTTCCTGCTGCAGTTTGCTCCGAGCTGTCAGGCACGGGGCTGGACTTGGGAGAGGAGCAGACTGGGCAGGGGCTGATTCTGTTCTCCTCTGGCTTGCAGCTGCTGGTTGGTGTGGAGGCCAAGCCTGGGGGCTTTCTACGTTCCCGTAGCTTTCATCCTGCTCATCACCTGGATCTACTTTCTCTGTGCCGGGATCAAGCTGCAGTGCCAGTCTAAGATCCAGAAAGACCCCCCTGAAGCCTTGGAGACAGCACCGAGGCTGGGAGGCAGCAGCAACCTCTTGACAGACTCAGGCTCCCTCTCGGTCACGCTCAACACAGGGATGCCCAGCCCGGACGTGGACAGTGTCTACTCCTTGAAGGTGCAGTTCTGGGCTCTGGCAATCACCCATTCCCTGTACCTTGCTCTGTGGACATTTGGAGCCATGGCTGTGTCCCAAAGGTGGTACCTGAACATCATCTTCAGCTGCCTCTATGGAGTCACAGCTGTGGCACTGGGGCTTTTTATCTTTGTCCACCACTGTGCGCGGCGTCGGGACGTACTGAACTCCTGGTTCGCCTGCTGCCCATCCTATCGCAACGCGCTGCCCATGCAGGCCTATGTGCATCCAGGCATGGCCGTGGAGGATGGCTCCCAGGTCTTCATTGGGTGCAACCCTGAGGTGGCCCATTCCATCAAGTCCTCCTCCTCACCCAGCAGCACCAACTCCACGGTGGGCCACTGCAAGCTCACCAACCTGCAGGTGGCTCAGAGCCAGGCTGAGAGCTGCACCCCACGGCCGGCCAGCTATGAGGAACCTGAGCCTGCCAACAACAAGAACGCCAGCGTGGCCAGGTACTCCAACAACATGCACGGACGCCGGAATCACAAAAGCCGAGCAAAGCAGTACCGGGAGGGCAAGCATCACCGCTTGAAGGCACTGCGGGGACCGGCCCCTGACCACCTGTCCAGCGAGAGCGGGAGCCTGCACAACAGCCACTCGGAGAGCTACCACAGCAGCAGGAACAGCCCCCTGAATAACAGCTGCCCTGGGGCCCAGGCAGGAGCAGGGCAGGAAGGGGAAGCTGCCCTGACGCAGTCAGATGGGAGCGATGGGAGTGGTAGCCACCAGGTTCCAGACTTTGGCCGGGCTCAGCGGAGAAGCACCAGCCGGGACAACCTCAAGCAAGCCAACACCATGGAGAAGGAGACGAAGCGAAGGTCCTACCCGCTCAACGTGGCCAATCAGAACGGGGGACTGAAGGGCAGCAAGTACGACATCAACCTCACCAGCGCAGAGAGCATGGCTGGCATGAAGACTGGCCTCTGGAAGAGCGAAACGACTGTGTAGAGGGCAACGGGGGACCTCGCAGCTACATTACAGTGTTGTGTTACTTCTCAGGCAAGCCCGCTCACTCAGCCCTTGGCAGGGGAAAGGTGGCTGGTGCACCCAGTTACGGGCATCTGTTAGCAGGTCAAGTGCAGCCTCCTAGGAGTGTGCGTGCTGGAGACGGGCCTGGCATGGGCATGGGCAGTGCTGTGCAGGATGCTTTGTCTCAGCAGGTGACTCTGGGTCTCATCTTACCTTGGTGCTGGGCCTGGGAGCGAGGGGAGCAAGCCAGCACTCATCCCCACACAGGTCACAGCAGCACCGACATCTCCACGCGAGAGACAATCATCGCTGTTCAGCTGCCTGACTGGCAGTTATCACTTAATCCCTTCTGCATGTCCCTTCAGACTGATCCTAAATGCTATTTTATAATATACAGAGGAAACAAAGGTTTATTTTTCAAATCTCTATATTATCGTGCGTGTATATATGTATAGACAGACTGGTAACTGGTGGGAGTGCCTCTGTGTTATGTGATTGGTGTTCGGTCCACAGCGTGTCTCCCCCTTGGTTTTGGCAATTGCTCACTCTTGCCATGATTGCAACTTCCAGGATGTCAGTTGGGAGAGAGAAACCAGGGCCCTTTGTGTAAAGATGCCACAGCAGAGGTGCTTGCTTTGCGCTCACCTGAGCATGGGCTTTTCCCGAAGTTCAGCTGAAATGGATCAGTTGGGGACTCTGCCGAAAAGCAAACGCAGCATCCAGAGTTGTGTCGTGGCAGTGACGTTCTAGGGATGTGTGAGTAGCCAGATCAGTGCGGTGAAGCGGTATTTCTTGTTGGGAGGCTGCTGCCTTGTGCTGAGCCAGGACTGTGGCAGCCCCCTTCCAAACCCTGAGGCAGGCACTTGTCTCTCCACAAAACGTGCTGGCCTCACCTCACAGATGTGGCTCCCAGGATCATCTCTGAGCAGTCTTAGAAACTATTTAGCCCTATGGGTTAGGAGCTACCAAAGTAAAAGCCATAGCTAAAAGTGAGCAAGAGGTCAGATGAGCAAGAGCTCCAGGCAGAATAAGCTGTCTGCACTGTTTTAGTGACGGACACTAAAATCACTGCAGGACGATTGCCGTTGAATGGGGTTAAAGATCCCCAGAGGCACACACTATGCAAAATGGTGGGGGTTGGCTGCAATAAACACAGGCCCATGGTGAAGGGGCATTCTTTTCTGTACCTGTTATGCTCAGTGTGGAAGAGTGAAAGCCTTGGGCCTTGCATGGCAGAAGTTGGACTGGGAAGCAACATGTTCCCTGCTGCTCCAGAAGGAACCCGAGGATCCAGAGTCGTCCTTCATCCTGGTAATTATGTTGATGAAAGGGTTTGACTACAGCAGAGCAAAAAAATGTGTGCATATTTATGTGTATGAACTGTAACAATTGAACAAAGAGGAAACACCGTTTGGCAGAGAGGGGTTGCTTCTCTGAAAGGGAAAAAGGGACTTTGCTGAACTAGTAAGATGATAATCAGGGCCTGAGCTGGTTTCAGTGGCATGGAGGACTGAATTGGATGCGTGTTCCTCTACAGCCCCATTCCTGTTTTTAAAAGAGCTGGTACTTGGCTAAGCACTTATTTCTTTCATTGCAAAAACTGGGTGCACCTTTTTTATCTATTGTAAAGCAGAAAGTGGCTATGTACTGTACATTGGCAGGTCCCCGACCTGTTGCCAAAGATTTTTTTTTTTTTTGTAGAGTTCCTAAAAAAGGGAAGTTAGTTTCTACTCAAACAGCCAGGCGATGAGTGCTCTGTACCTCTCTCCCTGCCACTAACGGAGACTGGCTGCCACCTATGCCTACTGACAGTTGCCAGCTTTAGGCAGACTCACTGTGCCAACCACCAAAGAAATGTACTGAGAATTGCCGAGGGACAAATACTGATGTCTGGCCCCTGCACTGCCTCTTCGTGGCAGCTGCAGTTTCACATATTACCCTCACCAGTAGTATTGTAGCAAGCTGGTTATCTGGACCAAGAATAGCATTCCCTCTCATCTGCACTGCCGCTGTGTGTCCATCCCACATACAGAGTCTCTGTGTCCGCCTTCCAAAAGATATACTGCCTATAAAGCCATAATGGAGGAGCGGACTGCAGTGCAGAGAGGCTAACTGGTCCAGCTGGAAGCAGGAAGAGCTAGGGGGAGAGTGCTCTCCAGCCTTTTTTTGTCCCTCTTGAAATTCAGAGAGAATAGAAGAGGATCTGTTGCCCCGGACACAGGACTTAGAGATCTGGCACCTGCAGCAATGTAAGCCCAGTGTTGCTGAGGACTCACCTCTGTCATACTGGACCAATCACAACCTCTCTGTGCCTCAGTTTGTAAAAGAAATGGGTATAAATACTTGCCTACCTCCCCAAGGGATTGTGATGGTCACTTGTAAGCTGAAAATTGCAAGGCATGCATGGAGATTTCAGCTGCAGCCCTGAAGTCTACACCGGTCCAAAGAGAGAAGGGGTGGAAAGAGAAAGATGATTTACTGGGTCATAAAGCACTTAAGATGTTTCTCAACCTCAGAAAACTTCCCCTCTTGCCATGCCAACACCACAATGCCTGTATGGCTGGAACACCAGCACAAAGTGCTGCCACCGCCCTCCGGCCCGGTCAGATTTCTCTTGCCGTTGCTGGTTTGTACCCACTTTTGTCTGTAGGGCAGGTTGAATCGTTATGCTGAAGCAGCCTACCCAAACTTGCCGACGCTGATCTTGTATACGCTTGCTGCACTGTGACAGTATTATAGGAAAAGCTTTGTATTATTACACTTCCTCGTTTACATGACAAGCAAAAGACATATCAAGAGAGAGAGCTTTTTGCAATATGTGTAGGGGAGCGAGGGAGGGAGAAAAATGTGCCAAAGAAAATATGTTGAAAGAGGTCTGTTATGCATTTTTTTTATATAAATATAATGTCTCTAGCAGATATGTTTTGTTTAATATATTAAAAACTTGCAAACCCACCACAATGGACTATGGCTTGTCTTACACCCTTCATTAAGAGCACAGCATGGATATTGATAAGGCTTGTCAACTATAGCTGGGAGGTGCTGATGTCCAGGGTTCACTAGCAGTCAGCAGGAATACCAAGGCAACACGGGATGCCAAAGACAATGGCTAAGCAGCTAGGGAGCCCTTAATGCCATGGGCATCTATACGGCATAGTGGAGAGCCCTCAAGATACAATAGCGACAGCAGGGAATTGCCTGTGCTGCAAGGGATTGGTTTTTATGCACGTCTTGCCCATCGTTGGTCTCCTTGGCGCCTGCTTCGCTCTCTTTAGTCCAACTGAGCCCCGCTGCCCCATGATAAGCCTTGCTGGGTTGTCTAGCTGGACCCTGTCCCCCCATCCTCAGTTGTCTCATGCCCCGCTGGGTCTGGTGGGTACTCACCGTCAAGACTGAGATGGCTGAGGAGTCAGACCCAAGGGAAAGAGCAAGCTCTCTGCCGCAGCAGATGAAGTAAAGTAGGGATTGAGGGAAGGGAAAGGTCCCAAGGGGCTCCCTCCCTGCAGCCTGTGGCAAAAGGGGTAGGACTTTGCTCCCCTTCTTTCCTGCCCCTAGGAGCACAAGGAGCTCTTGGAGCTCAGGGGCTGGAGGAGGCAGCACCCAGGGCCACAGCTGCCTCCTGGCTCTTTTTGCAAAAAAAATATATATGTTATTGTTTCTATATATATTACTCCACTCCAGCTTCAACATTCAAGAGGCCCCTGTGGTTCACTTGGCAGCTTAAAGCACAGTAAAAAACCGCTACAGTTTGCTCCGTGTAGCCACACGCACCCGTCTCCATACGTGTACTCCCACCCGCTGCCCTCCTCAGAGGGCCTGCTCCTGAGCTCGTGAGCTGCTTGGTGAGATGAAGGGCACTGCAGGAGGAAGCCCCTTTTGCAGGCAGGCCCCACGATGGACTTGGACTTGCAGAGTGGGGCTCAGCAGGGCACCCCAGCCCCTGCAGGCTGAGCAGCAGGCAGTAGGGCTGGGCTGTCCCAGGCTGCCCTTTTGGTGGACTGAGTGTGCTATGCAGATGTGGAGGCAGCAGAGGGCAGGAAGACGGCCCCTGCCAGTCTGCCGAGGTGCTGCCAGTCGCAGTGCTGCAGCATGGTGTTACAGGGTATTGAAGCCACAGGTATCCACTGAGCTGCAAGTGTGCTCGCCTCTTCCCACAGCCAAGCCAAACTAGGGAACATGACTGCCTCAGGCTAGAGCAATGTTTCTCAGCCCATGGGTCATGACCCAAAAAGTGGGCTGCAAGAATATATGAAAGGGTCACAAACTTTAAATTTTTAAAATGCATCAAGTTTCTGCTGGGACTTAAATCCAGATGTTCCTGGCTAGAGGGTCATGTCTCTGCTCAGGCTCAGACTAATTGCCATATTTGGGGTCAGGAAGGAATTTTACCCCATAAATTGGTATGGACTGTGGGGGCTTTTGCCTTCAACTGTAGACGGTAGTGTAGTTCCTGGGATCTCTCGAGCACATTTTAACAACTTTTGCTGCAGCAGGATGCTGGCTGCCATTGTCCCCCAGTTTACTTGTGACAGATTAGGGTGTTATGTCTTGTGGTGATGTCAAGGTTGAATATGTAGTTTTGCTAGGAGGTTAGAAAATAGGTGTGTATAAGGATGGTTTGGATAGGGAGAATCTGCCTGAGGCAGGGGGTTGGACTACATGACTCTTAGAGGTCCCTTCCAACCCCACTTCTCTATGATTTTATGGTGTCAGGGTAGGGCCTGGCAGAAGAGCTGTATTAAAATTATGTCAAATATATATTAGTAAAAGCGTGCATCAGTAAAAGAGTTTATTGCTAACAAGATGCAGATGGTCAGTAAAAACCAACCCTGGGCTGTAGCGATAAATGAGTGCCCTTGTCTCTCCTGCTTTTTTCTATGGCATGTTGTAAGACAGGGGAGGGCAAAATGCAGCCCATGGGCCACATGCAGCCAGCCAGGCCATTCTATCTGGCCCGTGGGGCCCCTAAAAATTTAGAA